GCTGAATGTTGACTAAAGAAACTAAACCAAAAAACCAACCGACAGAATGTATCTTCAAAAAGTTTTTCAATCAATGTGACTGAGTTACTCATTCAATAAATGACCATCAACAAACAGTGATTGTCACGAAGTAACCGATGGACTTTTAGTTCTACCCATTGTAACAAAAACCTCTTCCCTACGTTTTTCATTATCTTTTTTATATAACATATGCTGACTGATTCGTCATTCAACTAAATGAATTTCTAATTTATCACAGGATTCTCCCCCTTTCTCCAAACCAAGTCCTTTAGAATGTCTACAAAAGTCATGCAATAATATTTTACAAAATATAAATCCCTTGCCATATCGTCAAATTCTGAATGAAGTTTCTCATAAGCTGAGTAGCAGTCTTAATTATTTCACTAATTACTCATCAAATTACCCTTGGCTTAAACAGAAACGTAATAAAAAATTACGTCATTACAGTTCCCCTGGTTCATATTTATTTCCACTCTCCATTGCATGCAATTCATCACTTAGTTCAACGAAACGAAATTTGGTTACATCCAAGCGTACATTTAGAAAAGTTTCCCATTCAAAGAAGCTAAATTTAACATTGACAGATGATAACATTAGAACACATAGATCGATTCAATCGAAAAATAAAACTTTAATACATAATAAAATTGCTCTGAATAATTCAACAAAAAATGGTAAGTTCTTATCTTATTCAGACAAATCAATAAGTCAACTCACAACTGAATATCCTCAAATGAATGATTCGATAACTCAAAAAGTATATTCACCACAATCGGTGTCATTATCATCTTTCAATACTAATTCAACTATTTTAAATGGAAATTGTACATGTACCATCTGTAATAAAATACAAATGTTCAATATCTTACTAACTTCCTGGAGTGCAGTGATTAACTTTATTCATAATTTACAATCAAATATGACTTTATATTCAAATGATACAAGTATAAATACTACTAACGATCTTGTTTATAATTTAGAAAATTCACTAAAACAAAATGAACCAATTATTACTGAATCAGATGATTTAAACAATTCGTTTACATTACCAGTTAATAGTCTGAATGAATCTCATTTAGAAAACGATAACTATATAATTCATAATGTACCTTTAAAATAAATTCACTAAATAATTGAAACATTGAATAGAAAGAATTGAATTTCATATAGAATTACAAGCAGATTTGTATATTTCTCTTTATTGAACTGTGATGATTAATTTGTAATATCAGCATTGCAAAAAATACCAAAGAATAAATCTACCTCACTAAACCACTTTTTTTTAAATCAGCAAATCAATTAATTTTCTTTTGCACAAAATACTTTTTTGTTTGAATTATACATGCTTTATAAAACTTCTCTTTTTTTCCTTCTTTTTCTGTATTAATGGATGCAATATTCATTGGAAGATTTATTTATTAGTAAGGGAGAGGATGGTTGATTGTGAAGAAACATTTTTATTATGCTTACAGAATAATTATAATAGATTTCTGTAAAGATTTATTCAATTTTGAAATGAATGAATAAATATTACAAAAACAGAAGATTGTAGATAGTTTTGTTCTCTGAGCTGGATGGTTTGATCGTGAAGCTTTCATCGAGGTCCACAGGACAAGCCATGAAACACTTACTTACATCTGTTACTCCTAATGGAGCATAGGCCACCGACCAGCATTCTCCAACCCACTCTGTCCTGGGCCTTCTTTTCTAGTTCCATCCAATTCTTGTTCATTTTTCTCATGTCTATTTCTATTTCCCGGCGTAATGTGTTCTTTGGTCTTCCTCTACTTCTTTAGCCTTCAGGATTCTATGTGAGGGCTTGTCTTGTGACGCAGTTAGGTGCTTTCCTCAATGTGTGCCCTATCCACTTCCAGCGCTTCTTCCTGATTTCTTCCTCCGCTGAGATCTGGTTTGTTCTCTCCCACAGCAGGTTGTTGCTAATAGTGTCCGGCCAACGGATCTGAAGTATTTTGCGTAGACAACTGTTAATAAACACCTGTATTTTCTGGATGATTGCTTTCGTAGTTCTCCAGGTTTTCGCCCCATACAGTAGAACTGTGTTGACATTTATATTGAAAATCCTGACCTTGGTGTTGGTTGACAGTTGCTTTGAGTAAGCCATGAACCACATGTGAAGAAATTCAAACACTTCATTTCTATCTGAAGTTTGTACCGATGATGTCGCTCAGAAGGACGATGAAAGTTCCACGACCAAATCGTCCAGCTCAGAGAACAAAATTTCATCAAAATCATTCACCTGAGCTATAAATCTTCACTATTGTAGATGGTTCTTTATGCAGGTCAAAGTTATAACAGTGAAAACAATTCACAAATTAAAACATTTATTTCAAATTATGTTTTAAGAGCATATACTCAATACAGAATTGTTCATTAAAGATGTTACTTAACTTGATAGAAATTCTCTCAAAGCTAGAAAAGAAAACATTGTTTGTAAAACATGTAACTTCTATGTTTTGTTTTAAAATATAGATACATCAAATTAGAGAAAGGAAAAATTAGAACTAAACATCTGTCTAGAACTTTCTAGTTTTGATTAACTTTCCACCATAAAAATTGTTTTCCCAACATGAGTAGAATCATTTTACTGAAACTTTTTCAGTGCATATATAAAATTATGTTAATTATAGATTTAAATTATTAAATTGTATATCAAAGTTACTACAAACTAAGAATTTTACATCATGTACTTATATCTGTTCCATAATTAGTCTTGCGAAAATTATCTCATTCAATTTGTTTCATTAATGAATAATTGATAATAAGTAACAGAGTAATTATGTCTGCTCCATCTAATACAATTCTTGGCATTTTTAACTTTGTTTCTATAACAATTTCATTTTACGATAAATGAATCATATGAGCAATGAATGGTTGAGCATTTCCAAGATTTATAGAATTACTAAGGTAAAGAAGCTATACCTATTTATAATCACATACTTGTTTATTGAGAAAAGTAACTTGACTTGTATATGGTGATTTTTATTACTATTTAACATCAGTTGGATGATAGTTATAAAGTACAAGACTATTTTGTCTGAGTTCGAGATTTATCAGCAGTAGAATTCATGAGAGAAAGAACTATCATTCAAGATTTATCGTGTATTAAACATTTAACATATTTAGAACTAAGTGGTTAAATACTATAGATACAACTAACCAAAAAATTAATCCCCCCAATGGATAGAATTAAAAATGTTCTGTACTTATAAGCCATCGGATAAATATCTACACGATATTGTGCGGCCAATTTTGTTCAAATGGTATTATCAATCTGAGTAGCTGTTTCCCGATAGTGTTTTACTGTGTAAGTAGGAAACACCAGATCAAGTCATTTAAAAATTATAACCTGGATGCTACAGAAATACCTTACTGATAAGGGTCTCCATGTACAAAATCTAGGTCTAGTGTTATTATGTAGCATCTTAAATTATTCACTACTCTCCCGATTTTCATACTTAATTTAGAAAGATAATCTATATCTCGCTTTTATGAATACCAATATGTTACAGTTTATGGAGATATCACGTAGTACTTGTGGCCGGTGTGCCTTGCTAATGTATAATGTAATGATACCGCCAATTAGAGAGCGGTGAATTATCGATCGGACCAATGACGCATAAAACCCGTGCGAGCAGTCTAGAGTCCCTATAGGTCTTGCTTCCTGCCTATCCCAGCCATTTAAGTCCAGAACACCAATCTCAGCCTCTGCGATGTGAATCATTTATTTCAAACATACTAGGTTCATATACCAACCAGACAGACCACATCGTACCATAAAATAGGAAACAACATTTGTACAAGATTTGGCGAAATGTGGCTGTGAATGTGGGAGGTAGTGATTAATAGACAGGGAATAATTCAATGGTAAATCGTATAATAATAGTTCATAGGTCAAAATAAAGGTTATAATAAGAGGGACACGAATATGAACAGTTTAGTTACTTAACAATTATACGATAAAAATATACGCATAGTATTGGTCCATAAATGGATCCCAAAAGTTACCATTCATTATTCTTATCGGGACATAACAGTACTCCCCTTTGTAAATTGACGGCAAAACAAAAAGCATGGTATTAAAACACTAAAGTGAAGTACACATTATTTGTTGACGTTTCTAGTGTAACTAGTAAAAATTACCTTAACTTCTCTTGTCGGCATACCTTTTACGTTATTTATAACCAGCACGTATTTGTAAGTAAACTTTGTTGAGAAACACCCTCCAAGTTTAGCAAATATATATATGTAATTATTATTAACACTGGACAATATCTCGTAGATTCACAAATGCTAGTCGTCCCGATAAATATTCGCAGTTATTTTTCAAGCATTATTTGGTGAGTTTATTTAAAATAAATCACTTGGTTCGGCTGTTATTCCGATTGCATTACAATATTATGCATTAAGTAGGTTAATGTGGTTCTTATTCTTTTTTATGTCGCTGTTAAGAAAGTTACATTTTACTTCATTTTTAAGCTATAAATTAAGGTTTGGGTGAAACTGAATATTTGATGTAATAAACATTGTTGTTACATATTACCCTACCTCAATTAAATTATCTGACTAAAGTGATTAATTTTGCTTACTGGAAATGGGGAGTGGTGAATAATTAAGGCAGTTGAAAGTAGTTACCCTCCCAACAGAATAGTACCATAAAAATCATATTAATTATAAATTACAATTGTAAGGAATCTTCTCTGATAATTTATATAATCTCCTTAAGGACAATCAGACCGAAACACTTAATAAGTATATACAAACAGTGATGTAGAACACTTAGATGAAATACTTAATATTGTGTAGACCCCAAGTTAACCGAATGTACTAGCCTTCTCAATTTTGTCGCATCATAAATATGGTTCACCTTGTCTGCTCGTTTTTCTAAATAAATTTCTTCTTTAGCGAATCTAGTATTGATTAGTAGTTAATGAGGGAAGCAAATTCAGTGTATTTATATGCAAGGCTTTATTTATCGAATGCACTAACTTTACCAATTTTCTGGAAAATTTATGGGACATTTACTAGGAAACAAAAGTCATAAAGCGTTAATGGACTGATATACATATTACAAGTCAATAAATTAAACCTGTTTGCATGTTGAGGAATGAAGAAAACAAAATCTCATTGAATTGCTGTAGTATATATCAACTTTTAAAGAAGTTAACCTTACACTTCGTACAAAAACGCCGTCGAATCAGTTGGCGAATACAAATCATCACCAAAAAAGATAAGACTAGACTAACGAAAATGGAATATCAAAATAGTTATATAACTCTTGAAATAACAGAATAATAATCTTCGTTGTCAACTTTAAGGTTTAACAGACTTTTAAATAACTAATCCCAATCAAAAAAGTAAATGGATACAAGTATGCAGTTGATGTGTCATACAAAAATAATGCTTTCAATTATGATACAAATTTGTAGGTAGAATGTAACAGTTTTAAATTACATACCGAATCTTTCTTATTTACTGTTCAACGCTTTTATAATTTTTTAAAAATCTCCAAATACTTAGTTTTATGTCTGAGTTTTGTTTCCACAAGATCAACATACTTCATTTACATACTGTAAGCATTCATAAGTAACAATTTGATGACAATTTCCAAACCCATAGAAGAAATAATAACCTATTTGGATCAACAGATGAACTAAAGTTATATATATATATATATATCCAGTCATATCTCGTAGACAATGTCAACGATAAGAAAAGTATTATACACAAAATATGATTTCAATTTATTTTTATTGTTGTTATCATAAATTCATTTCTTTTAATTATTACAACAATAGATATTCTATTTAACAGAAGTGATAAGAAAGAAATATACAATGTAAAACATGAAATTAAGACATCTAAAGCTTTAATCTATTTAATGCCATACACCAGGTTGATTTGGATTTGGAATTGGAGCTAATTTCTGAAATGGAACTGTACATCCATGAAGCGACCCTTTAGCTAAACAAGAAAAAGAAGAAAGAAACAAAATAATAATTAAACTTAAATGATTCTTAATTAGAAGTGAAATAGGAGCTTTATATTGAAATTTTATTAGTATTAAATGAAGATACCTTTTGATTGCACAGCAAAATTTTTGCATACATAAATTTACGAATAACTCCAGAAGGAATGATAATATTTAGACGTATTTTATGCATAGAGAGTTAGCTGATATCTTATGTCAGATGAGAATCAGTATTTTTGATGAAACAAAAGTTAACTTATCAATAGATTAAAGGTTATCACCGATAATCAGTTATGTCCAACGTAGCATCTGGTACATATATGTATCGGTTCAAGTTGTTATATCACATCAGACGGGCAACAAAGATTTACTACCACATTAATCGGTTTCGCATCCTTAACTAGTGCATTGTTTTAAATCCCAGCATCGTTCATCCAGTGTTCCCAACACACACGAGGAATGCTTCGGAAGTATCGACGATTGAATATAAACGAAGTATGAATGTTCCATATTTTTAAAGACTAGGTTTCACAGACATGAAGTCAAACAGAGCGAACTACTGAACAATATACTCGTCCTTTGGTTGATAGACAAACACTTTTCCTATGTCGAAAATGACGTAAGTTGGCAAAAGACAAACGAGTTTTAGGAATACATATCGAGACAGATAAACCAAAAAAATGTTATGTTACATTATTAGGCTTATAATACTTATAGATGTAGATACCAGAATATTACATTTCTAAGTATCCTTTTCTGTAAAATGAGTTCAAGAAGAAAACAACAATGAAGGCTATATTCACAATAATTACAATGTACAGTAAACATTTTAAGACATTAATTATTCCTAAGACCTTTTCGTTGTTGTTTTTTATTTATTAAAACAATGATGTAGAGACAGACATAGAACGTACAATCTTCATGTTTATTTTAAATTTTTCATATAGTCCTAACTTGTCTACATCTACGAATGTGAAAGCCGTTTCAATTAATAAATTTAATCATTCCTCTGAAAGTAAAAAAAAATTATGATGTACTTAAATTGTTACAAGCTACAATTCTTACATAATTTCAAATAGTTGGCCAACATATACATTTAGAGGATCTATTGTACCAATATTTAATTTCAACTACATAGTCTTGTTTGCTGTCAAAATACTTTCTGTAGAGAACTCAAATAAGACAGGTTTGAGGAGCTAAACACTTCTGATAACCACTGTTTAATGTAGTTAACTATTAAAGTATCCACTTGGTAGGATACATCACACTGCTGATGATGTATTAAATCTATCTAAATCTTTTTCTCACTCTATATGTAACATTACATAAAAAGGAACAGAATATATATATGATTTTTCCAATGCGTAGAAGATTAAATTCCTGATATCTCATAGCTCAGTGTAAACCGCTTCGTCACTAGAAATCTACCCAATGCTCAATTATTAAAACGAACCTTGGTAATAATCATCATTGACTACACAATGACGATTATGTGTTGAGTTTTTAATAAATGAACATTAAGCTGAATAGAAAATCCAGTACATTTATCATATAAAAATAGAAACAATACAATGATACAATTGAATTTCTCAGTATAAAATAAAAAAATCAGTGCATATTCTTACGTAGATTAGTGTTCGACGTTTGTTCAGTATGATCCATAACATGTTCATTTTGTTTGATTTGAGTTGTGGAATTCGATAAACGAATAGGTGAAGCTGATGATGAAACAGATGATGGCTTCAGTGGACCTGAAGAACATGATTTTAGTATACAATTTGATAGACTATTTTGTCCATTAGGTATTGTAGCACAACGACTACCATCTGGACTAATAACTGAGACTGGAAGCCATACACCAAGATAATTAGCTTGCCAAAGTCGTACACAACCATCATCGCCAGACGATGCAAGTAAAGAACCTAATGAATGTTTTTTCCAAGAAAAAAGCATGTAAAAGTTCATAGACGATAGGTTAGCAAAAGTTTATGTTGTGTAGTGATTTATACATCCAACCTATTGTAGGATATTCGTATATGTATGATTTTCTAATTCACATAAAATCTGGTATAACTGGGCACCAAAAATGGAATGCGTTAAACAAACATATCTACATGTGGGCTGGGATACTGTCTGAGCGGCTACACCGAGACAGGTAGTTTTATTGGGGATCTACTCCTTGAAAATTTGATTAAGGCAGTGGACCAACGTCAAACTTGTTATCAAAACCCAGATTTCAAACAAAATAGACGAATGAAAAGGTGAGCATATATATGCACAAAAATGTGCTGCAAAATTTTAATGAAGCTACTTGTCACCAGTTTGTAAACTGAAAAGATTGCATACAATCAAAGAGTATCACATAGCTTATCAGTTGGGTTCTTTGATAAACATCTTTTTAACTATAACATTGTTAAACTTTACCAGTTACATTCCAAGAAACATGCCAAACTCGTCCTTCATGATGATCGAAACGTGCCATCATTCTAATTTCATACGGATTACGTATAGGTAGATTCGATCTTGACAATGACAAATTATTGGAACTAGAATTATCATCTATTAAGAGGTAAGAAAAAACCATAGATAAGTAGTGTTTAATTATGCAGGCTAATTTAGGGACTTTTTAATATAAAATACGCTTTCTCTTAATAAAAGACACTTAATTTTTTTTGAAAAAGACGAAGCATTCCTGTGTAACTAGTGAATGTGACTGACCGCAACTTACTGACTGTATAATTTGTGTTTTCCGTTTTACTATTGATTTCTACTCTGTACTCACTAACTGTAAACTGCTTATAATTATGTTGAATAAAGTATTGTTCAGTCTTTAGTCTGGTTCTCTATGTTTGGTTATGAATCGTGTATCTGGTATAACGTGATCCAGTTTGTGTATAGCGTACCGATCGAGTATCTAGTCTAGTGGTAATATAATATCGGTTACCGGGTGCATTATCATATTAAAGTAGCATATCGTGGCAAGTGAAAAATATTTTAATTATTTCGTTATATCAACTTCCTTGCTGTTTACTTTTTCAAATTAATGGACTATTTTCATAACAGATCGAGACAACAAGTATGAAATAGAAAGTAATAATATTGAGACTTAAAATAATATCCACATGATGTAATTTAACTTATTTACACATCTATGTACTCAATTTCGAGCTAGTGAAATTAACCGGTTACCTAGACCAACGTGGAGTAACATTTAAACTTATAAACTACTGGTTCAACCTCTAGTTTACAGTGAATCTCTTGAATGCTGGAATAGCTGTAACTAAATTAACTAAGAAACAAAAACAAATCAATTAAGTTTAAAAACAATGTTTAGCAAAAATAAATAATTGGAATCAAAAGTTCTCTCTCTCTAAATAATTTACTTAATTTTTTTTCATTTTTCATTTTCCTATATATAAATATACATCGGAAGATGAGTTAACTTAAAGTGGAACATATTAAGTTGTGGACTAAAAAGAAACACAACAAGAAGTTATCACAAGTTTTAGAAAATTGATAGCTTTTGACTAGCATTGAAGTCCATAATGTGCTTTCATTCTAACTGGAACTCATCAACTGAACGTATTTGAATTTCAGTATTGATGAACCTAGTATCTTTTGTCTTTAACACTCCCAACGGGTAATCTATTCATCTAGTGAATTTTAATAGGCAATAGATTGTACATTCGGTATGGTATTTATATTATTTTAAGTTAGGAATTAAATCCTTACCTAGAACGATATAAGCAATTATTACGTTTGACAATATATATTTTTTATATAAAAGAATTATTTTGGATAAATTGGTAATTAGGATGGAAACAGAATACATTTATAGAGTTTATTTGTTGTGTATATGTAGCTAAAACGTACTTTTTTAAAATTTAAAATTATAATTTGATACTGAACAAATATGACCCATAAGAAAATGGAGAAATGAACTTTTCATTATCCTTTGATTCCCAATAGTTACCTAACTGAAATTTTTATCAAACCACTGCTTCCTTAAAAGATTAATGTCTATTACAAGTAATACAGTTCAGGACTATAGACTGTACTATCAACTAGATCAAGTAAATAGTATGTTAATCTAAATTGTAAGTGATGGTTAGCATTTATTTATTTATTTTTGATACAATTAGACAGAAGTGAATGAAATTTAAAGAATTTGTGATATTTTTCATAATTTGTTATTTTCACTTGGTTACAACTTATCAACGAATTTAAAAGTATAAACTACCACATGAAGTTATGCAACATTCTATCTCCAACTCTAACTGATAGTGAAAATGATGAACAGATAGAATACGGTATAAAGAAACACTTATAGGCGAACCCAGTTCTTAAAAAAAATTGTCTAGTACAGTCATGTATAAAAAATGTGAATATTTAACTTACTTTTCAACATTGAATTAGAAGATTGATTGGAGTTAAACGGTCTAATTCTTAATATATACAATTCTTTAGATCCAACAGCTAATGTATGATATGATTGACCCATATGTGGAGCGAATGATACATCGTAAATAGGATCATTCAGTGCATGCACATCTTCCACAAGATACCAATGCCTTCTAGCTTCAGAATATTCATAAAGGATAAGTTTACCGTTCACTAGAGTATTTGTTGGATGCGCTGTTGAATGAGACATAGAATGATGTGCTGGTAAACCGTCTGAATTATCCGCAGTATCTGGATCATTAGGACTAACGCTGCCAACAGCAATTAAAGGTGGATCAAGACGTGACTGAAAAAATATTGATGAAAATGGATTGATTATTTTAGGAGACAAAACAATCTAAACATTTAGATACTAATGGATGTGTGATTATCTATATCTACGGCTTCATTTATAACAATGTGCCATATGATGTTAAAATAGCAACATACATATTGTAACAGCGTAACTAAATGGAAATCTGTATAGTAAGAGATATGAGACAATTTTATTTAACGCGATCTGACTATATTTTCTACTCTTACAAACCTAAATACAAAGCAGAGACTTCACTGTACGAATCTACTAAGTAGATAACAAGCTACAGTTGAAATTTTTATTTGTTTATTTATTTGAGCACAAAAATATTGGTACAAGGGGGCACCAGATATATATGCGCCGCACGCTACGGTTGTAAAGTAAACAACCAACAAATTGAACATGATCAGTAGCCTACTACTTCCAGTTGATTTAAAAATCTGAACATCAAAAACTCTAGAAAATATTTTAGATTAAATTCTTCCTTATTTGATAAACAACGGTAGATATGAATGATTGACATACTTTACAATCCATATTCAATTAATTTTGTGTATGCTAGAGACTATGGACCGACCGTGTCTTTTAATTCACGCTGATTTTGTATAACTAGCCAACGACAATATGAAAGCTGTTTTATTCTACTGATTAATAACACTTACATGATTTAGAAATTATTTTTCTGAATAATTAGTTTGAGTTCTACCACACGTAATTTAGTTAAGCTATTCGTTTAGTTAATGTTATCAGCTTCCTCACACAATGAATGTGTTTGAACAATGAGCATACATACATAAACTACTTAATTACTGGGTTGCACTAACATTGAATAATGACTAGAGACAAAACACTAGTCAAGAGCTTAATCAGTAGTGTGAGCGTATTGGATAAAAAAAACATAAGGTACGGGAAAAGTAATCAATCAATAAGAATGATCGGTAGCCTTATACTTTTCAAGTATATTCTATGTGTACAACTATGGTAATATATCTATCATAAAATATAATGAACAAGACATACCTGAGACCATGCTAAACATGATCCAGCCATTTTAGTACCGAAATCAAACTGTAAACGCCACTGACTTAAATTCATAACATCCTTTAATAGAGTCGGGTAATAAGAAAAACAGAAATGGGAATGAACAAATTCCAATATTTTATGGAAAACAAAACAGAAGATAAGCAAATAATTTTCCAATATGGAAATATAAATTATTTTAATTTTACAACGGTAAGTATTTTGCTATTCTTTCTCATTAGCTGATCTGTGAATACACCTCTAAAGAATACTTTATTTGTTCAATAAAATTCATCACAAAAACATACCATTGACTTTCGTAACATAGTTTGAATTTTCCAACTCTAATCCCATAAAGACTTAAGAGTACATTCGGAAGTCTAAACAATAAACTGGTTTACACGATTGATGATCCACAACATCTGCGTTCAGTTCAGTTTTGAATTCGATCATTGTAGTAAATAATGTATTTGATATAGGATTCGATTTACATACAACATTTTTGTTCAAGCCATTTCTAAAACTCAATCAATTTTACTTTGATAAATTTAACTGATTGGACCCGATCAAAATACCGGAAGGTTATATATAATCCAAATGACAAGTTATATATAGCATACTGTGTAAGTTTTAATCGGTTACCATTAGAATAAATGTCATAATTTGTGATCCATTTCAACAACAAATGTACATATCTAACATCTAACCGATCAAACTAAACACCTTAAGTGAATAGTCAACGAATTTATTGATCAGTGTTATACTTCAGTTAGACGACTTTGATGCTTTTTCTAGATATTAAATGTCAATATTTTCGAAGAAATGTTTGCACTCAGATGTGATGATTTTTTAATTATATGGATAACGATAGGAGCAAAGAGAAAGAAAAAATACAGTGTTCATTGATAACTGATACAATTTAGATTAAAAAATTCGAACGATTGGTGGTGAACAACTAGTGTATAAACAGGACTGCTTTAAAAATGAACTAAGCTACTTTATATCTAATGTGTATGCTTAACTTTATAAAGTTTGAAATCCTGAACTGTGTGCAGAAAAATGTCATATTAGCTTGGACATTTAGTATCAAAGAGATTAAAGAAACTGGTGCCGCTTTTTCCCATCAAGTTTTCTCTTCAAAACATTCTGATTATCGTATTACTTTCAATGAATTCAACAGCTAATCATAAAAAAAACGACTAAGAATGATCGAAATTACGATTACAATAATGCTTACGTAGTGGAATCCAAACATATATTTAACTAAGAAGACACCTGCTTACCAGTGCTTCATAAATTCGCAACATGCCATCTGTAGAAATAGCAGCCAACTGAAGACCTAGATGTCTTGGAGCGAATTGTAGACCAGTCACAGAAGTACGTGGATCAACAAGGTAGGCACGTCTTATCCAATTAGTGTTTGCTGACTGACTTCCATATGTAATGTTCGTTACAGTTGAAGGAGTTTGATTGGTACCACCATCATTTTCACCACCACTTGTTATGGTCTAGGTAAAATAAAAAAAAGTAGAAATCAAGAGTAGATTAGATCAAACACAAACGGAACTAGTACTTAAACATAAAAACAAGAACATTACAATTGTAGATACTTGAACGAGTCATAGGGAACTACAACCTACTCCTACAATCTACAATTCACTTCTTAATTTTGCAAAACGTTTCTTATTGATAACGAATATGGGGAAATAAAATGTTTAGGTGACTGCATAGTTCTATCGCATGTATGCGCATAAATGACTACAAATTAGAGTTAATTATTTATAAACAGATTATAGATATACTGTACGTCAATGACTAGAAATCCCATTACATGTCTCTATTTTACATAGTGTGCAAGGATCTTTAAGAATACGCGAAATTACTTACTTGAGTGCCTGCTATTTCCTCCCATACAGCTATTGTACGATCGAATGAACAGGTAGCGATAACCTGACCGAATTCAGGATGTGCCCAAGTAACACGCCATGCTGATCCTAAATGACATCGCCATGAAGCAGTGCATACCCATTCTTCATTGTCCTTTAAATCCCAAATCTAAGAATTTATAAAAATATTTTAACCATTAATGTAGAAAGCTAAAGAAATATTGCACTGTCCCCTCTACCTTAAAATATACCAATAACTGTGAGTAATCCTTTATCAGTCACAAAATTGAAAATACGATAATACTTAGTATGATATACATATATGGCAACTATTAAGGTATACGAGATGACAAAACGAAGTATAGATTATGGAAGAAAATAAGATCACATACAATGTTTCCACGAGTTGTTAATTCCTTATGATTGCGAATTACCGTTTGGAACAACACATATAAGCGAACAATTGTTTTCAGTTAGATCGTTATCAGGCTTTACTCTAATATAAATGAATATTTATACGAAAATGTTAAACCAATCAAGGCAATTTGGGTCAATAATCACAATGAAATAGAATAAGTCACCACACATGATAAGTAAAAATACAAGTTGATAGTAGGAAGACAGGTGTACTGATAGTAGTAAGAATAATAAAATACGGTAACAAAAGTCTTATTAATAGTTAAACGTTGGAAATAGAAGATCAAACGTGGGTAAATAGACTTGGAATAGTCATCACAAAACATTAAGATCATTACGTAATAAGAAGTGTGTAAATAATTAGATAGTGAAAAATACAAACGAAAAGAGGTGGAGAATTACAAATAAATAATGGATGTGAAAATTATTACCGTTTGCTTTATATTTTTGATTTAATCCCCCGTGCTTTGAAAAATATTTAGAATTTAAAGTTGATTTTTGAAACGCTGAATCTGTGTAATTAGCTAAATGCCTTTTTAGCTATCCAGCTTTTTTATAAGCTTTGTCACCGGAGACATAAGCAAACATGAGGAATGATCATCAACCTTGTGAAAATACTACAATTATGACAGAACGTAAATTTCCACTGGATGGCTGCAACAAAGCTTATAATACAGCTGGGTGGGTAAAAAGACATCCAACATATCATCCTCAACACACACAAACCATCTCAACAGGCGAAACACAAAATCTCACGAATACATATGATCAAACAACACGAAACCATAACATAGAAACAACAAATAAATTACATCAATGCCCATACAACGGATGCAAAAAGACACTTTTAACAAATAAAGGAATAATCAATCACTGCTATGTAGTACAGTGATGGTCAGGAATTAACGGACGGGAAAGAAGATCAAGAACAAAACAATCAAATGCAGAAACAATTATTGCAACCCGGTAGCTGTGACGCGCTTCCATTTATTTATCTTCTCCATAAGAACCTACCGGGTTGAGGACGTTAGACGACTCTCTGTGTTCGATCATCGCTGTCTCCGAAGGATTGCTGATATTCAGTGGCAACACCATGTCAGTAATGCAGAGGTTCGGCATCATGTGTTTGGGCACAGAGATGATAATTCAATTGGTGTCACCATCTTGAAACACCGACTTCGGTGGCTTGGACATGTTCTACGAATGTCGTCCCAGAGAATTCCACGTCGTGCATTATTTGCCGACTCTGGAACTGGTTGGAAAAAGCGGAGAGGTGGTCAGTGCATGACATGGTGTCGTGGTATGAAAGAAAGCTGCAGAGGACTGGCTTGTGTTGGTCCTTCACGACTCCCTGGTTGGGGTCTGAGAGATAGTGCTACACAGTGGCTAGAGACGTTATCAGATATGGCTCAGAATAGAAGCCAGTGGCGATCCTGCTGTAACCTTCTTTTACTTTCTTCATAAAAAGTGGTTGTGTCTCCCTCGCTTGAAAGATTTCTTCTGATTGTACTTTTCCGTTCCACTGTTACGACCACACTAAATTACACCAATCTCTTCGTTATCGTTCTCTTTTTCTTTTGTGCTCCTTAGTTTTTTTTTTTTCTATCTCTTCGAAGTTACATTGTTTTGTGTGGCGCATATATATTGGCGCTCTCTTGTACCAATATTTATGTGTTAAAATAAATAAATAAATAATAAATAATAAAACCTACCGGCTTTACCAACTATTTTGGCTGGAAGGGGAAGGCCAAGGATAAATGACATAACCAGAATACAAACATATACCGAAACGACATTTTAGAGAAAAATATCCAGATGGTTTCAAAAGTTGAGGCCTTTAAATTTCTAGTTTGAAATATAAATATTTTAAATTTTTTCAGAACACAGACAAATATCAAAACAAACTTTTTGGGAGAAGAATTCCTCTTCTCTGTTGCTTTACATGAATCAGATGAGAGCGGATCGAATTTCTCGTTTTTTTCACGGAAACGAAGCTACGTGAACTCATTATTTCCGTTTCGTATAGGCATTCAATGAATACATCCCTTTGCAGCTATATGGTCTCTTTTAGCGAATGGAACACTTATAATCTAACTAGATAGACGGAATAGTAGAAATAGTTAGAATAATGACTTCCACAGTCACCTTCTTTTCAACTTTAAAAGACATAGACATTTTACATAAACTTTGAATATACTTAATGTATCTTAATCAACAGCACGAAATTGTTTCGTTTTTCTGTAACCGATAGTGTTTAAAATATTAGAAGAGATTTGCAGAATAACATGAACTGAACGATTTTGTCATGAACAACAGTTATACTTTAAATCAGTCAGTCGTGGATAACGCATTTGATAGTATGAATATGTACTGGTCCAAATTACTGCACCTCCATCAATACACCCAACTTGTTGGTTCCACCAAACAAGTAATGATTGAGCATAATTAATTATGTATAAATTATGAATGACCATATACTTAATTAGTGCAATAAAAATAAACGAAATAGTTAAATAAATGATGAATCTGTTCAAAGGAATATTAAAAAGGAATCCATATATGACCCAGACATACAAATGGGTAATAAACAAAGATGAATAAGAATAGCATGACTCGATGGTTGAGGCTTTCTAAGTGGAAATAATAACTATGAAATATAATTCAACCATTAGAAAGTTGTGTAAAGTCACTTATTAAAAAAAACGCTATAATAAGTTATTATTAATAATGTTTAGTAGTTGAATTATGACAAAAATATTTGTAAGATATGGTTACTATAGCAGTAAGCTCCTCAACCATGCGTGATAACAATAACACAGGTAAGAGATAATAAAGGGAATTTAAAAGAACACTCCTTACTATCATGAGATAAAAGGTCAACAAAACATTATTAGTATAAACCACGAAAACAATAATAAGTATTGAGGAATAATTATTGTTAAATAAAGAACTATTCAGCTTATATTCCCCATGTAACGATAATAATAATAATAATAATAATAATAATAATAATAATAATGGCCTATTGAGGTTTCAGTAATCTTATCAATACCGCAATATTATCACTTAAAAAGGGAGAAAATTACGACGTAAAGACAATAAATAGTATGATGAGTCAGTAAAATAGTATACCATTTAGAAAAATAAACTTAAATATTTAAGGCCAAATTCAACACTGCTCCTTCTCTTCGACGAAATTAAACAAACAGATAAACACTAGTTGGAAGTTATATGGAAGTGAATCAATCAATAAATTACTCTTTAAGATGTTTTTTAAATTGATTTAGAAAATTTTAAGCAATAAACTGAAACAATGAGCGATGATTTCCACATTTTGTGGGTAGTAAAATCTTTTGAACAGAGTGTTTTACATAGTACTCCTGAAATTTATAAATTATATATGGTGTTGAGAAAGTTTTCCTCTTTCCTTGAATTTAACTGGATGGTCACTTCATTTACAAATTAAACATCACTGTCATCAGCGGAGATAAACAGAAAAGTGAAGTAAAGAGATTTCGGATGGGTGCTTTTACCGAATAGTTGTACTTGAATTCAATACAAATAATCAAGGGAGAGAGACATGAGTATAAGATATGGTACAGCTCTAACGGAAGTGGTAACAACTAGAAAAACAAATTTTACAGAATATGTGAAGATGGATCAGATTATAAAGTATTGGGCTGTCACTGAGTCACGAAAACAGTACACACGCTCTGAGTGTGGCCCTCGAGATGACAGAGATTGTCTCATCTCTCGCATGTTTTATGATTTTGTAGTTCTAATGACCTTTTTATATGACTGGAAAATGTGGTAACTTGAACTGATGAGTTTGAACTAAATTCCATTTAATGATTTATGTAGTCAATAGATGGTTTGAAATGGTATTCTAATGTAAGCGATTGATCTTTCATCAAATGACTTACATTTGAATTGTTATTTAGTTCTGTCTAATTATCCCTATAAGTTTGAATAAAAGATCATGTTTATTCTTTCTTCTAAAACTGCTTATTCAAAGTCAATATGTTTACGTACTCCGAACTGACCACCTGGTAAAAGATGAACAAGGATTTTCAGTTTCTAACATTTAGAAATAATGAATAATAGGAAATCTGGTCAGACACTATAATTATACTGGTTGTACAATAAATAAAATAGTTAACTGTTATGAGGCCGGTTTGAAAATAACTAAATTGAAGTTAGTAAACACGAGAAAACAAGAACTAAGAGTCTTCCAAACGATACTTTCATCTACATTATGATATACAATGCTTGGAAATAGAACTTGCATATATCACTAAAATCCTACCATTTTTATTTCAAAAAAGGAAAAATTATTTTAAAATATTATGGGATGTAGTATCATTATTTAAGAATATGTTTTCAGAGCTTTTGTTTAACATAAAATAATTTGTAACTTTCAAAAGGTATATGCACAAATTTCTTAGATTCATGCCTTTTATAACTAAGTGAAGTGATAGAATCTTTAAAAAGTACTAAAAAACATGTATAGAGAAGGTATTTATATAAATTTATTGGACGTGACATGAAATAGCGGATTGGCAGGAATGATTGCTTTCCAGAAAACTAACTACTCACAGTATCTGACAAAGTAGTAATAAGTGGAAAGGATCATAAGATGATTGGTGAGTAATGTGAACAGTATGTTTGGCCCGAACCCATCAGTTCGACTTTCAGTCATTAAGTCCCAAGTTTGAACCCTGCCCCACTTGTGTTTGGGCGACCGGATAGTATAATTAGCTGTCAAACTTAAAGTGTAGTTCATATATGAGTACATGGTCATTCTATACTTTATCACAAATGTTAGAAAACGCTGAAATGAAAATACTCAGTGATGGTGATTCAGTTCTCAAAATAATTAGAAAATCAACACGAAACCAAAGAATAATAGCAAGAACCTGACCGATAAGTAAATAACAGACGGGAAAATATCTATGACTTAAAATATGAAGAAAATAAAGAGTGGATGAATATGAGCCACTGAGATCAATAACAAGACGTCTGTTACGATATTCAATTACTGACTCCTAAGAGCCTATTCGAGTTTTCGACGAGACTAATTTATGGACGACCTTTGAACGAATCTTAAATGACCTTGAGAAATATTAACCAATCAGCAAACAGTCAGTATAGAGTAAAAATATGTTATACAAAACCAAGGGAATAAAGTGGATACACTTCTTATACGTGGTTCAAAAACTTGTCAAAGTTAGAAAGAAGTTCAAAGGTTCTAAAATCGTAATGCATGCAGTATAGAAAATCATTCATACGGCTACAGAATAGTCGGCCTCTGGAGCCATGATAAAGTCTCGAAAACTCCTTCAGCCTCGACCACATAGCTTCAATATTGTTTATGTGCACTCCGGTTGTTGAGTGCACAAAATGCTAATTGTGGATAACGACACGATGCACATAACCAGGCCTATGTGGGAGTCTGTACGCTCTCTAAACATCCGTACACATTATAGTACCTGGCTGCAGCCAATATTACTGATACTTTCAATATCCAGTCGGCAATAAGTGTCGTACTTTGTTTTAGTTAGGAATTATATATGGAGTTTTCATCACGAAATGACATCAACTATAGTGCCAGAAATTTATTTGTACTAAATTCCCTGTGAACCGATCGTACGTCAGCATTAAGCACTGAGGTTGGCACCGTAACCTTGAAATCTCTAAAAAGCTGCTAGTTGGTTCGTCCATAAATTAGAGTCGCGCCGAAATTAGAATCACTAAATCAGACTCAACTGATATATGAAAGTAACCTGCAGTTTAGACGATGTTATATTTTTAGGCCATTGCTCATATCATTTATTATTATCTAATAGTTTGGTGGGATGTCCAAAAATTAGGCTTAATAGTTAGATCTTAATTGATTAGAGAATGAGTGATCTACAAGCTGATTTTCTCCTTTCGCCTGTGATATTTTACCAAGTTTATTTTGTGTTCGTATTTCGTATACAAGCATGTTGTCCTATTACGTAAAAATTCTATCAATTCATCTGCTTAGTGGTCTTGTTTTCGATTTATAGTTGTTCGGGGGTTCAAGTCAATGATTAATTCTTTTGACCAGCTATTACTCGGTTACACCTTATATTATTGCGTCTATCTATCGACTAGTGTTGTATACACTGATTTAGAAAATTAAAAACTAATCATTAAAAACCGGCTTCATAATATAATCCCAACAAAATAATAAATTTTTGCATATCATAAGTATTTTTTGAAACAGTATACACATACTTTAATCATTTGATCACTACTACAAGTTGCCATGCGTCGACCATAGAAATCATAGGCTACATCATGAATTAAATCAGCGTGATTAGCATGAATACTGCTTGACACAAACATATTTTCTATTAAAAAAAATGAATAAATAATCCTGAGTAAAACTAGTGCTGAGTATGTCATAAAATAGAACTAGACACTGAAGAGTATGATGCAATATTATGAACGATGAAAATTGTCAACAATCAAATCAAGACGATGTTATGTTAAGTGAATTATGGTATCATGAGGTCATATAAAAAGGTACACTGAAACGATTAAAAAAACCTTTGACGAAAATACAAATGTGTACAACTAAAGGAAACCAGTGCAAGTACTAGAGCACATACCTAAAATATTTTTAGTGAGAATCCTTATACAGTGAGGTAAAACCTATCCAAACAGGTGTTTAAAAAGAACGTAGTCCTGGTGTTTGAGTTGGTCAGTCGTTTTTGGTGTATAAGCACTCCGAGAGGATTGACTTTATATTGCTATCAGTCATACGTTGAATGAAACGCACCTCATGGATTCTACTGCTAGCCACTACCCAACTCTGATTAGAAATTTATAAGATTGTTGAGAAGCCAATTAAAAACCTTGGGATGTTGGTTAAAAGACTAGTTCAGAGAGACTGTCGTAATCGCTTTATACGAAGACTAATTCGTTTGACATAACGGAGGGCTGGACAAGAAAGTAGTAAATCATTTGGTCCAAGCCCTTCCTAAGATGGTTATGCGATTTGGTTGATAAGTTAACTTCACTGCTAGCCATTATGACATAAGTTTATGCAGAACGAATGGAATGTAGTTATCAGTGTAATATACGTGAAGTTTCACAATACTTGAAATTCACAGATAGCTACATTCCATCTATTGTAATGTAAACTTGTCATAATGGCCATGTCAGTGCAATCTGCAGAAAATGCACATATGCCAACTAAGATTGGTTCGTTTGTCAACTGGCTAGGAAATTGGAGCGTTAAATATGTATTTTTTACAAGTAGATGGTCGAGGTAAATCTGTAAGCCAACTAATTTTATATTTTTTCTGCTTTTCAGACGACGACGGTAATTGAGCAGATGAATAACCAGCCGAAAAAATTAGTAAGACATTTGCGCTAATGAGGACTACCACAAAACAAAGTATTTATAGGTCAAGATTTCACGACAGTATACGGTCACCTTTCTGTGACATTTACTAAGTACATTAACACCGCAATTATTTTTATCCAATGTTAGTGAAGATCTTGCCAAATTTTACGATGCCTCAAAGCAACGTTACTTTTATAACACGAGGGATAAGGTGTATACAAGTTGTTGTCGAAGTGATGATAACGTTATAATTATCACTGTTAATTTCTGCTTTCCGTTTTTGACACAGGTACATACTTTTCGGTACTAGAGTAAGTTTTAATTTGTAACGAGTTTTTAAAGATTTAACAAGAACCTCTTAGTAACCGTTAATTAGTGTCCTATTTCAGGACTCAAGTGCTCCTTACTGGCAATCGAAGGATGGTTGACATTTAAAATTTTACTACTTTTATTTTGTATGCTGTTATCCATTTCTGTTCAGTGAGTTTACCTTAACATACATCCACATTTTCAATTGGATTTATTGAGTTGGAGTGAACCAGACGCAAAAAAGAAAGCTTGCATGAATAAAAAATTTTCTTGAAATGAGATTTCCCCTATATATGTTTTTGGGAAACCTTGTTTAAAATGCCAGATTTACTTCAGTTTTGGATGAGGACAGTAAAATTTTTCAGCCATATTTCAGTTGACTGTGACCCAGATATAAACAACGCTAGAAACTGAAAGTGTAATGTAAGTGGATCGTTTTCCTCATATAGACTATTCTTTCGTGTCGTCACAGAAACTTTATTTGCCCGAGGTACTTAGGGGATTTTGGACTACTTAGTGTCAATTTGGGAGGAAATATACAAACCGTGCAGAAATTAGACGATCCAGCGTACGCTTAGGCTAAAGGCATGTTCCAAGGAAGGTAAACCATTTGGTTTGAATACAGGGGAAAATGAGACAATTTAGGGTTCATCTGAAGGAGTTAACCGAAGTCTAAGGTTTAGATTTTGAGATATTTCCCCTCACCAGGGAAACGACACAAAAACTTCCACTAATTCCTCAAGAATGAGGGACGAAGGAGACAAACTGATATCTTTCCACCTATATTTTCTGAGTGTTCAGCCTTATCACCCCTTTTCAATTTATTTTGGTGTAAGTGTAACAAAAAAATCGAAGCCACTAGGCCTTGAGCAAGCTCTTGAGTTGCTACTTTAAAACTTACTGTCAATTAACTTACATGAGGACCCTGAAGATGTGACCAACTTAACTGATTAGGGCCCTAGAAGGCCATGAGTATCAGCAAAGCGCAAATGTTTGAAAGGCCCACCATCATGCAAACCGAGTCCAAGATTCTTAAGCTTTAAATTCCCATAGGTAAAAACAGTCATACTTTTGCTGCATTTGTACACTTAAGAAATTCAAAATACTTAATAAAGTGACAAAATTTTCATTTTGGTCTGAGTATAATGAAATAATCAAGTAACCCTAAAAATTGTTATAAATAACTTATTATGGTTCATGGTATCACTTAAATATTTATTAACCTTAGGCAGATCATTCACAGAGCTGGCTTGTTCCTGCTTCAGATAGTTGAACACTGGGCACTTTACTTTCAAGATCAAGGCTGATCAATATGGAATAATTGGTTGTATGTCATTAACTAGGCATTGTGTGGTGGCTGTCTTCTGTATTTCATTATTCTTTTCATAGACTACATTGATTTTGTCAGATTTCACTTGTTCATGGACAACTACCACTGAACCATCTCATCCGGTTATCACGAAATGAGACGAGCCAGACTGGGTGTTAAAAGTGAGATGTGACTTCGACGTCACCTAGAGAGTCACACCATTACCGCCCAAACAGAATAAAATTGACGGTCACCATTGTCAGTCTACAAGTCTAATGATATTTCGGTTCAACACATCAAAACTTTATTGAACTTTGATATCGTGCTTCAAATATTTCACAAGTATAATCAGCATAAACTTGTCAGTGAAAAGCATGTTTTGGACTTCATATAAATGTGGATGAGGGTGAGATTTCAAGACGTCATTATAATGACAGCTGAATAAAAACTGAATTGAGATTGTTGAATAAAATGGATTCCCGTGCTGTTATTCATTCACTAGTTCTGGTTTGATACAAAAGGATAATTAATAATACTGACTTTCATTCCTGATAAGTGCGTGGATACTCCAATCACGACACTAGCCACATTATATCATTATATTTCATATGTTATTTCCCGCTCTTTATATAAGTAGCGCTACAAAAATTTGCACGATCTCATCAATAGAATCTTTTAGGCGATATAATTTTGGACACCACAGAATGTCCTGAAAAATACAACTTAAAGAATCCCAGCTACCTATAGATGAATCGGAAAATTCCATTTGTCGTGTTGTGGTAAGTGGATTTGAAAGATGTGTTGTGACCTACATTTATCAAGAGAACGCGATTGGTGTAATGGAAACCAATTGTACCAGTGATTTGTTTACTGTACTTATTTGCTTAACTGTACCAAAACACATACATTCTTTCGTTGATTGTGGCCTTGCACGAATTCTGTTACGCTCAGTAACCACACTTGTAACCTGGCACGATTTCGGTATTCTTTCGATACCACAATATCGCCAACAAATACATCTCCACTACAGCTGTCAACTGCATTCTGATATCCGGCTTACGGGGGATCTTATCGGCTAACTGGCATGTAGTCTTCCTGTAGTGGTGATCATAGTCAAACGCGACTGGACGCCACACTACAGATGTGTAATGAAATAGTCCAGCAGTCGTTCTCCTCTATGTGTTTTCAAGAGCATCTTTAAAATTTTGACAATTATAGCTTGTTAGTTTATGCACATGATTCCCCTTTATTATTTTAAAGATAGCAAGAACAAAGATTGGGAAGATTTACTTTATTTCGTTGGGTTTTCATCAGCTGTTCACAACCTAAAATGTTTGAAATTCAGAGTCTTTACAGTTATTAACATACATATACATAAGAGCGTGACTAAAGATGAATATGTGTATCATGATGTTGCGAAGATTCCGATAGAGTTAATGAGGTCATAAATTTTTGTTTCGAATAAATTAAGTTTGGGATAGAAGGTTACAGAACGTTGAAATAGTGATTAGAGCTCATGGAATTAAAAAACGCATTGGATGATTATATAATGAAGTAACTGGAAATAGATTAATGGTAATAAAGAAAGATATGAATTGAAATCAGTCAGTTATGAATGAGGTAATTTTAAAATTCGGAAAGAGTGGGAATAGTGAATGACGTAATAAATTATTAATTTATGTGAGCTCATCAAGAATTCTTTATAATCTTATATCTACACTCTCGAATCGGTGAATTATTGGCTCTTATTATATGTTTTTGATCAACTAGTTTGTTGTGTATGAAGTATGTTCTACTCATATATTTAGGCTTGGCAATGCACACAATTGATTGGAAGCACTTTGCCTCTATAGGACTTAGGAATTATTAATGATATATAAAAGATTCCAAATACAGGTTGACGCGATAGCTCGTATCTATTGGTAAGGGTCGATAAATCCCTGAAATACATTGTTTTGCAGGTCTTTGAGACTGATTCAGGATTCATTCGTTCTATTAGATGCATCGCAAGTTGAATGTGTTTAGTTGAGGAGTACATCCTTCCTGAAAAACAGTCAGTTGAGTTACGACACATCTTCGTTTCTCAGTCCATCATCTAAATATCCTTTCAAATCCTATTATCACCGACTTCAGACACTATTTGCGTTGAGATTAAAAGAGATATGAACCAAATCACAGTTTATTAACCTCTTTACTGATGAACTCGGCGTAGTCTTCTGTACCAGAGTATATTTGAGACTCCTTTATAAATTAGGTCTTTCTTCAATCGCGTCAGTTAGAAACAGGACGATCTACATCAATTTTTGAAGTTTAACGGCCTGTCATTCCTTACTCACAGTTTGCTGTCCTATTAGATCTCAACTACATAGTCGTTGAATCCCGATATAAGGTAACTAAAAAGACTTACATCTCAAATTTAACACTATGGAGAAGGTTGTAGAATGATGGTCTATTATGATAATAGTACTGCTCTACTAATAGGCCTAATCCCATAATTCTAGACTTTGTCATGATATAACTGCCTAATCTATAGGATCTTACATGGAAGTCACATCATCGTCTACACCAACTCACTGCACCGTAACAGTTACCAATTCATAAAATAGAACAAAATTAGGTTAGAGATGGAACAATATACTTAATAAAGTAACATTCAGCAGGGATCACGCCTGAGTGGCCGAGCTATGCCATACGATCAACTCCAATTTATTCAATTCATTGTTCCCGCCTTCTCCACCGTTCGGTTTTTCCTCGCGTTACATGTTGAATATGTATTTCCCCAATTCTCGCGTGTTCAGCTTTGAGGATTGTGTAGCTAGGGCACAATGCCACGGCAAGGTCAAAGATGGTGAAGGTAAAGACAACCTCAAAATAATATGGCTCGGCCATTCAGGCGTGATCACCGTGTAACTTATTCCTTTTCATATTGAACATGTTACTCTATCCCCAGCCTAAACGTATTCTTTGGAAGTGCTAAACTTCATATTACTGATTTTCACTGCTAGGAAAGTCAGCATAAACAATGATGTATCTTTCACGGAAGATCTTATAAATTGGGAAGTTTACAAATGAGATTAGGTTCGTCATTTTAGTAGCGACGATAAATGCACTTATATCGACTAAAACCATTAATCTTATATTCGTGAGACAGATCAAACAGACACAACTTTTTATCAGTTCTCATATTCATTTTAAACTTATCGATTGACTTCTACTTGTGTTGACCCATCATTGTGCTGGTCTTCCGAATAGCGCTCACTCAGAAAGTACCATTACTCGTGTGGAGATAAGTCAGAATGTTTATTTTTGGTTTATTGGTTCCATAAACGTATGACTGAACAAGTAAAAATCAAGCCGGCTCATAACATAGGTCAATTGTGATACATTTTGAACAAACTCAACTTGACTAGCTGTTTGTTTCAGTTGAGTAATAAAATGAACCAGACCACTGAACCTCATCCTACTGCCACCTCCTAGATTATTTCAGGTCATACTGGAGTCTCCAAATATGATGACAGCCACTCGTAATTCTCAATATAAAAATTCCCACACCTTTTTGAAAGGCATTAGGATTTGTGAAAATAAACACAGATTTGCTGGAAAAACTAACAGATACCTATGACAGCGTTCCTTAGTCGTCTTGCAGTTGACTGTTGAGCATACCAATAGCCAGGAATTCTACATGGCGTTTTATCCAACTATTATTAATGATTTAAGTTTAAGTGCCTCGATTCAGATCGGTAGATCTAACTTCACTATTCAGAATGCCCAAGTCAGCCAGTCCTCTAAAAGTTGATTTGGTACTTAAAAAGACCTAGTAGGATTTTGGTCTGAGATCCGCATTTGTATACATAAGAGAGAGACAGTCGAAAAATGTCGAGATCACTGAGCTAATATACAAGAATCATCCAAAACTAATTGCTTTCTGTGAAATCTGGTTTGCAAATATTATCAACTTTTGTCTTCTGAAGTGCGGTCATTTCGTAATGACGGGTTAAGCACTGTAGATGATGGGTTCGTGTTTTGTATATCTACCTCCATCAGAGCTCAGGGAATTTCATCTCCTAGAATAATTCGCCAGAATGACTTATGGTGCATAGTAAAAATTATATGTAGCTCTTGCCTGGTAGGCAAAATCTACAGATCACTAAGAGCCTCGGATTCCTTGAATAATTCATTGTTTCACGCCACCAAATTTTATTGACAGATACCTTTAGTGTTCCTTATCTGTACTGCCTAGATCGTGACTTCAGATTAGTTGGATATATCAGAAACCTATCTAAAGAATTAAACTTGCCAAGAAACGTGGCTTTGGTTACTTTACAGAGGCCAAACTAACATTTCTCTAGACTGTACTGCTTTTTCACCAACCATGAATTAAAAGTCACGAACTTACAAGTCTTGAACCCACGTGGACAAAGCTATAATGTTTTTGTGTCGTTTTTTAACTTTAAAGGTTATATCTGACTAGCGTACATACTACAAAAACTCCAGCAAGACCGACAATGCTATTAGGGCAAATCTCAGGAGGGTATTCTGACAAGATGAACACCATTCTGTATGATTTTCACACTTCACAAAACCACAGTGCGATTGTACGTCAGACAATAAGTTGGCTTTCCTGCCTGAGGTCTCGTTGACTACATTTGGCGTCCCTGCCAAACGGGAGGCGGAGAGGGCACATTTCTGCGAACACCGTTACAGG